GCCCTTTCTATCTTCTATTACTTCTCTTTTCACATTCCAATGATCAACGTAGTCAAATCTCTCTCTCTCTCCATATATATATATATATATCCTTCAACGTTCCAAGTTAAAAATTTCTACAAAATTGCAAGAGATGGTTCCACAATCGAGTCAACTTCAATGGTTGCTATATTTTGAACCTTGTTTGTTTTATTTCAATGATTGTTTGGATCGAAATTGTTATTGAGCCGTACAAGAGATGTGTATTTCATTTGTTTCTTAGGATGAAAGATTGAATAATTATTGAAGGCTTTTTCAGGAGAGATTAAAGATTGAATAATGTGTATTTCGTTTGTTATGATTGTTTTTTATTGAATTTTATTGAATAATGATATTTTTGTTTGTTGTTAAATTAATTCTACTTTGGTTGGCTCTAGTAATATGTGACCCATGTTTTGTTTGCTAATGCTCTATTTAAATGTGAGAGTAAAAATTTACTCTAGTTGGTATGATAATATGTAACCTGACTTTTGTTTGCTTACTCTATTTTAAATTAACAGTAAAATTTTATTCTGTGAACATTATCATTTCACTAAATCAAACCAAACCAAACCAAACCAAAGCTTGGCCATTTTGATGTTGTTTTGTACTTAAAACGACGTCGTTTTGGCCATTTGAGCCACATTTGAGCCACAGAATTTGGGCCCTCTACCATTGCTCATAAATGTGAGAGTAAAAATTTACTCTAGTTGGTATGGTAATATGTAACCTGACTTTTGTTTGCTTACTCTATTTTAAATTAACAGTAAAATTTTATTCTGTGAACATTATCATTTCACTAAATCAAACCAAACCAAACCAAACCAAACCAAGCCTTCATTCCCATCAAATGTGGTCGGCTACATGAATCTTTCTTCTTCACTCGACTCTATCCAAGGCCATTTCGTTAGTTAATTAAGGAAATTCATATCTTTATTTAGTACACTAGTCAATTAAGGAGATTCATATCGTTAGTCAAATTTCTTAATTGTTTTCTTTGACGACTTGGTCTCTACGTTTTCTGAAACATTTTCAGGTAAAACTAGAACAGGGTATTGAGATGTTGAAAATATTCAAGGATTATGAAGCAGAGACGTCAATCTTGGATGATTTTAGTTTTTATGATGAAAGAGAGAAAAGCTTGCAGGAAAGGAAGGCTAGACAGCAGCAAAATGCCTCAGTTGTTGCTGATGCATCCTCGATTATTCAACTTTCTGATAACTTTGGTGAAGCCCTCCAGTTGAAGTTGGAAGATGGTAAACAAGTGCCGCCAAGAGCTGAATAGAGAGAGAGAGAGAGAGTAGTGGGGGCTTTTTCAACAGATGACAAGAACTGTTAGCATTGACCACCCAAGTGTAGGAAGGGGAGATAAATTGGTGTTAGGTATTTCAGGTTTTTGAGGATTGCTCACTATACACACTCTGCCGGAAGCAAAATTTTTGAATGGTATAGTTGGGGCAAATCTCCAATAGTGTCTGGCTGTAAACTAAGAATCTCTCTCTTGCACTTTTTTTGTTTTTGTTTTTTTTTGTTTTTTGTTTTTTGTCTTTTGTTTTTTGTTTTGTGGTTTACTTGGGTCTTTTAATTTATCAATTGTTGGGAGCTGTTTGGGGTGCTATACTTCGGGCATCTTGGGAAGGCGGCAGACAGACTGAAGGAAGCTGACTGACATACTCATTTGGTTTATCTTTTTTCTAATTGTTTCTTCTTTTGGTGGTGGTGGTGGTTCTTCAGTGGTTGGTGGTGGTTGTTGTGCTATAGCCAGCTCTTTTTTTTTCTTTTTTTCCCCTCCTCTAATCAATTGCAGGGAGTTTTAATTTTATTTTAGAAAGGGTAAGAGATTCTTGTTAGGTTTTAACCCAGTTTGGGGGCAATTTGATGGAAAATTTGCAGCAAAAAAAATAGTAGTTTCAGATGATGATATTCAGATAGTGTTTTGGTTATATTATATCTTTCTCTTTCTGTCGTTTGAGCTTAGTCTTCAATCATTGCTTACGTCAGTCTTCGAAAATCTTTCTTCAATGGAATGAGATTAACTAACTAACTAACTAACAAACAAACAAATTAACAAATGTAGGTAGTACATAATACCCCATTTCAGATTCCTGTGTGTGGGTGAGAGACCAGAACATAATAGAATAGAATTCGACTTGAATTAAATTGAATATGGCTCTAGTTAATTTTTCAAATATGTCATAAAATGCAGAAATAATTGAATTTTGACCACCACAGAACCGGGCAGCTTTATTTATTTATTTATTTATTAATGTTCAATAGAAAACATATCAACATTTCCTAATTTACACACAACTATCCCCATTCTTGTCTTGAATCAATTTATTTATTTATTTATTTTTATTTTGATGTAAAAAGTGAAAATTTTGAGTCTTGATTGTTATGGAAAATTTCCATTAATAATGCTACAATTGTTTAGGCATTGTTAAATGATTTCAATTAGAATCTCCTAATGTTGTAAAATCTGGTGATTATTTTCTTATTTTTTTGGGTCAGCAAGTGAGGAGCCTTGTTAAGTGAGGAACCTCTCATTGTAACGAGGAATCTCATTAGGGATGTAATTGATTCAAAATGGTCGGTGTTTAGGTTAAATTTTACGCCGAATCAATAATGTCAGTTCTATTATGTTAAGAATCGATACAGACAAAAATTTTCACCAAACTGCACCAAGTCAAAGAGCTCGGCTCAGTACAGTTTTTAGTTTACAACCTTTTAAATTTGAGTTACTTCTTAAATTTGTAATATAGTAAATAATTTATATAAAAATATTGAATTAGTCATTTGTACATTACTTTAATATCCATCCAACCATTCACAAAAAATACCAACAAAAGAATTTATAAACACTAAGTGTTTCAGCTTTTAGAATTAGAAACAAAATATAATTTGAAAATCAAAATCTTGACACTAAAGTTTAAAACCATCATCTTATTAGACTAAATTACAAGTCTATCAAGTAGAGTTAAAATAAAAAATTAAAGACAATATAAACATCCGATATAACTATATAGGCATAGTAGTAGCAAAACTTGACTCAAACACATATGAGTAGCAAACTAACAACTTATTACATTATCAGTATCTACTGTCAAATCTAAAATATTTATGAAAAAAATAAACAATTAAGTAAATCAGTTGAATTTTGAACTTAACCAACTTCATTACATATTTAATATATATTAGGTTTAATATACTAGGTTTACATGCGAAACTTTCAGTTGGTTTTGGTTTAATTTGGTGGACAAAGTGCCTAAACTAGTACCTAAACTGGTACCGAACCGAAAATTGAAAAAAATTAATTTTAAAAACTGTACAGACCGATTCATATTAAAAAAAACCGATTAAATATAGTCGGTTTGGTTCGGTTCAACCGATTTGATCGGTTTTTTCAATTTTTCTTACATCCCTAAACCTCATACAATAGCGTAAAATCTCCAAATTATTTGAGTGAGGAATCTTATTTTTATGCTATTTGATAAGTTATGCCAGATTATTTGTAGTTTTTGCTTATAACTTGTTATGTAAAAATAGCTCAAATAAGCTGAAAATAAAAAAACTAATTATTTTGCAGCTATGAAAAAGATACTTTTAGTTTATGATTTCTCGTTATTGAATTTTAGCTTAAAAAAAGCTCCACAAAACAGGGCCTTTTATGTGTGAAATATTTTTTGTTAGTAAAATGTACACAATAAATTCCCATCAGCACTACAGCAGCAAGTGTAAAATATTGACATTCTGAAAGAAAGACTACATGTTCATGTTCTTCTCCTTCTTTGGCTTAAACACTAGTATTGTATGTTCAGTAAGTAGAGAGGCAATGTTCTTCTTCTTCGGCTTAAACACTAATATTGTACGTATGGTATGTAGAGAGGTATGTCGTATGGATCTTTGAATAAACTCAGTAGAAAGAAGCAGCCAGTCCAGTTCCCTTAGGACATGTTTGATTGGAAGGATTAAAGCATGGGATTAGGATTATTAATTCGTGAACCCAATCATCCTATGTTTGTTTTGACATTTTAGTTTAGGACTATTAATTCAATGGATAATTAATCCAACAAATTTGTAGGATTATTAGTAATAGGGTAGGGGTGGGATAGTTAATACCACACTAATTTAATAGGATTATTAATATCTCACTATTAGTATTGTGAATCAAACATGGCCTTAGTACCTACATACCTCACTTGCTACCCCCCAACTGCCCAAGTAAATTCAACTCTCTCATCACCATCCTCTGCCTTTTTTTTCCAAGCCTACAAACACAAACAGATACTCAACAACCACCATATATTCCTTTTCAAGTCTCCATATGTATGAAACTTCTTTCGCCATTTATATTTTGGAAGTAGGATACGAAAGGAAAAACTACCCAATTAGTGAGAAGTGGTACAAACACTTACAAATAAAAAAAACAAGTGAATCTTTGTTGGCTGCAACTTCTGCTGTGATTTTTTTACATAGAGAAGTGTTGCACCCCTATGTCACTTGTAACTGCCCCTATACAAAACTGTAATAAACATTCATTCCAGCTGCCCAAAACTAAAAAGACCCCTCCCTTCTTCAAGGGCTTAAAAAAAAAAAAATAGAACACAATACACCCAGAAGTTGTTCTGATCAGACCATCTCATTCCAAGAAAACTTTTTTGAGAAAGACTGAGAAAGAGATCAAATTGCTCCATGCTTATTTGTCACAAACTGTCAACCCCAACCATCCTATTGTTGAAAAAGGGGGAGTTATAAATGATTGCCTACATAAAAATATTTTGTACAAATATAATAACCCTTCCCATTTTCTACTTTATAAACAACGCATTACTAGCACTTCAGAAGCAAAAGCAGGGTCAAACTCCAATCTGCCAAAAAGAGCTACCACAATAATCAAAGAAATCATCAATAATGCAACATATAAAATTAATACCTTGGAGAGACCTGCAAATATATATATATAACGACACCAAAAATAACTGAACAGAACAGAACAGAACAGGTTTAATATAACATGAAAAGGCATGTATAAATACATATCAAATATCCCCTATTACTACTAGTTCAACAACATTAATCCATAAAATTAAAAAGACACAAAAGGAACCAAAACATGCAGTTCTTATCATAACTTGCCCCCTTCTTTTTTCTATCTGAAGAAAGAAATTAACACTGATAGAGATGCACAAGGCTGACATAAATCAACATTTTCTCTGTTTTTATATTTTTTCCACACCCTCCTTTTTCCACTTCTTTTCTCTTTAGTTTCCTCTTTTTCTGCATCATCAATCCACAGTCATAGGTTGGCTCATGCAGCACCTGAAACGGGCCTTGCGGACAGTTGTCATTATCTCAGTTTCTGCATTCTCAAGCATCCTGACAACGTCAGTAAAGGGTGGCCTGACATCAGGATTAGCATCCCAGCATCGGGTCATGATCTCACTTAGAACAGGCAGGCAATCATTAGGAATATTTGGACGAACACCCTTGTTCACAACCGCAAATGCTGCCTGCACAGCTGTCATGTTCTGGAATGGAAGCATTCCAGTAATAAGTTCCCACAGCACAATGCCAAAGCTATAAATATCTACTTTCTGTGTGTAGGGCCTGTGCTGGATCATCTCCCTGCAATTTCATACAAGGAATGCACTCAACAAGTAAATCACATCTAAAAATAGATTAGCTTATATGCTCTTTTTCCCATCTGTCAAAATAAAGATATGTACATATATATGCATGTGCTGAGAAAGGAAGGACAAAGTAGGGAATATTACATAATGGCAGTACTTACAGAAGTAGTAGAATTATTTTTCTTTCTTTTACTGCAATGAGCCTTTCTTATTTAAACTACAGTAACTAAAGGTGCTTTCAGAATGTAAAAGTTAATTTAGCACTTCTCCTAAGAGTAACTAACTCTATGCTCATCCATCAGTATGACACGGCTAGCAGAGGCTACCCAAAGAAACAATCAACAAACAAATCCTCCAACTTACATACTCTTCAACCTAATGTACACTCTCACGTCAACTATCATTCATTAAAAAATAAAAGATCGGAGGACAAAAATCCTTGAAAGTAGGGCCTCACAACCTTTAATATACATCAGCATTGTTACTGCTTCCACCACTGTAATCACACAGTAACCCAAAATATTAATACCCTAGCAATTGACAGTCTACAGAGTATATAATGTGCAGAAATATATGGCAGATTTTTGTTCCAAAACAACTTCGTGATCCAAAGTAATTCAAACATTTTTCCTATTTAAGTCCCAAGTGTAGAAAATACCAAATATGATCAATTTGAAACTACACAGAGTGGAGTTTTGGCCCAAGAAATCTAAGAAAAGGGGCCATAAAACATTAATAACTCAACTAGTATAGGATACACTTAGAAATATATTTTTACATGAATAACTTGAGTATAAAAAAATTAAGAAGTATAAATTTATTATAATAGATTGTGATGCTTTTAAAAATGTTGATTTCTTTATATGTAAAATAAGCCCACTAAAAAAGAGAGCATATACAAAATAAAACAAAAGCCCTTCACCAAAGTCGAGCTCTCCTATAACATCTACAAGTGAAAACGAAAATTCACAAAACTTTCCTTTAAAGCCAAACATCAACTATGAAGCAAAAACATCTTTGATCTTTGTAATGTTATCTCTACTTACTAAAAGGTCTGTCAATTCCTCTTCCTCCCAAGTGCTAATAGAAAAGAACTCACATTTCAGAAGGACCTTAATATGCTCCAATAATATGATCTATGAAAGCCTACCACTTTCAGATCATATTCTATGTCACTTTGGGTACCATATTCCGCTTCTCGTTCAGCATAACAAAATGGCGCACATCCCAGGTACATGCACAAAAATGTACGTGTACGTCTGTTTAAACACACATATGAATTAAGACAACAAGATAGAAATAAAAGGAACCTGATAAACAATGAAAACATGAAGGGAAAACAAAAACTACAGACATATAATCATCATCACAAAGTAATCTGATAGTATTTTCTCAAGGCCCAAAACAACATCTCCAATCATCCGCCACCTCGCCATCATGCCACCATTTCACCTACACAACTACAACTGCCAACTCTTACAACCACCACCACACACCAGCACCTCCCCATTAATCATTACTAGTGGTGCCACTATTCACTCATGTAACAGCAAAATTGAAACTTTTACCAATAGATGAAACAAAAAGCATTCCCAGCTGAAAATCAAATTTTCAGTTTGTTTAGCTTCTCATTTCATCAATAAAATTCTTCAGTCCAATTGTCCATCACTTCAGATAAAACATTTCTTAAATCTCAAAAACAGTTATTAATGTTTTGTCCAACGTGAAAAGAACATCAACCACTGTACCACTACTGTCCACAAAAACCTTAATTTATCACTTGGCCACAGTCGTAACTCAATTTTCCCATGACAGGTGACCTTCTAGTGTCTCATCACATTCAATTCCATTTCCATACAAAGGTTTGAAATTTCACATTGCTAACCCCAAGCATGGATTACGTTGCTAATAAACACACATTCCATCTTCTTTGAAATCATATGCATTAATAGGAATATGAGATAATCTAACACGCATTTATTTCACTTCACCATACTTATTCTGAATGACTTTGTCCATTCAAACAAAGTTACCCAATCCAACCTCAATCCTCAACTACCATTTAAAATGCATAATAAAATAAGATATAAAGGGCAACATTATATTATGTCTGATTTCATTGCAATGCTCTTTACCCTATCAGCCTGCTTAAATAAGAAAGACTTATCCAGACTAAAAAATTCATCAATCATAGCCAACTCATACTTTTGTCATCTATTATCCTCACTTGTTTCCCCCCAATGTAATTAAATATAGCTAATCTTCCACAAGGAGAGCTTATACAGATTTTATAAAATCATATCAAAAGTTTAAGGGAGAATGGAACTAGAAGAAAACCTCAGCAGACTTCAAACATACACTGTTTGCAAAAAAAAATTATAAAATAAAGAACAGAAAAAAAAAGAAAAAGAAAAAGAAAAAGAAAAGTTGTATCACCCGAAGGCTTACATTTACTTTTTGGTAAGGAAAAAGTACATCATCCAATTGAACATAAAATTACAATTAATATACTAATCACAAGATCGTGCAATCTTTTAGTAGTATGGATTACTTTTCCTTAATTAAGCCTTCAATCCTCAATAATAAACAAAGTGCCAAAAAAAAAAAAAAAAAGAAAGATTCGAAAGGAAGTTTCTATAGATAGATAACCAAAGAAGCATCCACTTTAATGGATGAGGCGTGTCGTGTCGGACACAATACTTTGCAGACACTCCTAATGGTGTGTCTAACACTTCTTCGACATGTCTTCACAAAAAATTTAAATTCATAATCACACACTTTACAGACACTTCAGCGACACTTTTTGAGCCCTCAGAACACCAGCCTTCATAGTGACAATGTTAAGATTGTAGATTATCTTTTTTCCTACACCGTCCTACATCCCATTCCATTTGAACAGACATTTCGAGTGAGAATATTTTACATTTGTTGTTCAATATGGCTATTCCATTTTGGGCAAAGAAGGATGGTAAACTCAAGCACGAAGCGTTTTGGAGACATTATTTCCACTTCCATATGGTGATTTCAACCACACGGCAGAAAAACATTTATGAGAAGATTTTGACCACATAAATGATAGTAGAAAAGGCCAAGTAATAGCTTGCTATAATCACAAGAGAATCTTGGGTACATTCTTAGCAACTTGATTCTAGTGGACTGTTCTCACAAGACCACCTTGATTGAGAGAACAAGAGTCTTATAAGAAGCTTGATACTAAAGTACAATTTGTTGGAGATAATATTAATATCCAACATGATTTATGCTATCATTTATGTGGAGATAATCTTTTTTCTAGTATATTTCTACATGATTTACAACATCTCATCCAAGAATATTATATAATATGCAATATGTGTGTATATGATGTGTCCCCGTACCCATATCCAATTTTGGATATGTATCCTAAGATCTTAATATTCAAATTTATAAAGGTCTGACAGTTGGATACATACTTGCACCTGAGACTCATAACCGAGTCCATGTAACATAGATGCTAATGACCACTTTGAGTAAAAAAACTATTAATTGAAAAATATTTATTACCTTGTAAAGACGGGGGTAAGCCACAAGCAACAATTGTGTAAATTTGGTTTTTCAAACTATCAGTATCCAAAAATTGAAGAATAGTAAAGCAAGCTCATCCAAAAAAAAAAAGAAAAGAGGCTTGGATTGGAACTCAACTGTTGCTATGTTAAGAAATATATTTTGATGTCCAAAAATCGGACAAACCAAGAGCAAAGCAAGCTCAAGCATAAAATTTAGTTTGGAAACTTCAAGAAGTTAGTGATGCCTTATCTTCGCTCTGGACAAAGCAACTTTCAGTCAGCTTGCCATAACAATAGCCGGCTATGTAAACATACTCGAACCTCAATTTTTTAGATAAGTGTTTTTTTATTTTTATTTTTTTTGTTGTTGTTGTGCTGCTGTTTTTTTCCCATACCATATGTTAACAGACAGAAAGTTAAGGTATAAAGGGAACTTCAAAGAAGGAATCAAAAAATTATGCCTTCAATTTATATTTTGTACATTGGAAGTGACAAATTAGGGAATCAATCATGCTTGCAGCCATGCAGGAAAAATATGGCCCTTTTTTGGTATTGTTTTCAAAATTTTCATTCTTGATTCTTGTTTTCGTTTTTCATATTTTTGGAAAGAAATATTTTGAGAAGTTCAAAAATGCCCATCATTTTTATGTGTGAAAATAGTTTTTGAAATTTCATAAAACAATTTAAAAGCGTTTCCCAACAAATGGGAGTTCTCAAAAAATATTCCTAAAAACAATTTTTTTTAAATAGTTCTCCAAACAAAATTTATCTTTCAGTTTTAGAGAACATAAAATAGAAAACAAAAATGATGCCAAATGAGACCTAACAAATCATTTGCCTTTTTCTAAAATTAATAGGCACTATTAAGGCCTCAAATACACATTCCTTCTATAATATTCGATTTCCCAAAAAGGTTCAAGTGGTAATAATTGTGGACCATGCTACAATCACATTCATTTAGTACATTTGACGTTAGAGCGTGAGAGAAATGCAAAAATCTCTACGTGGGAACCAACAAGTGGCACAACTTATTGTTTTTTTGAAAACTCAAGGTGTCTGGGACAACTTGCGAGCACCTCGACTAATCCCTAAAGGACCAATCCCACCATTTACTAACGGGAGGCCCAATTAAAGCCAGAGTAGAGCTTCATATAGACTAGCCTAACACAGGAATTGATAGCACCTAAGTGGCACAAGTTAGTAGACATATACATAGGGCTTCTTTGGGGTAGCTTTTCTCAAGCTGAAAGTTGATAATCAAAAGGTAGAAGTTAAAACCCTTGCCCAACTTCTAGATAATCAGGCTTTTTATACTTGTTTAAACAATTTCTACCTTATAAGTTACAAGCAGAAATTATACCAAACACTCTAGCATAGACTCAAAAAAAATTTAAAAGAATAAGAAGAAGCTATAAGCTGCACCAAACAGCCCCAAAATCTATAGAAACTA